GTTAGTTAGTTAGTTAGTTAGTTAGTTAGTTAGTTAGTTAGTTAGTTAGTTAGTTAGTTAGTTAGTTAGTTAGTTAGTTAGTTACCATTTTTCATTTATTTACTTATTTACTTATGAGTAATTAATTGTCTTTTCCCATTCTGGCCTACAGGGGGCAGCCTACAATATTTCTTCACACCGGAACGAGGTACAATCACGTGACATCATTACCGGAAGTAAATACASTGCTCTCCCGCGCAGTCAAATTATTTGGTTAGCCGGCACGGTTTGAGGAAAATCCGAGGGGAAAAAAATGGACGAGCTTTATTTGGATAATATCGACGAGTTTGTCAACGACCACAACAAGATTGTACGGATGCTTTCAATTTGGTTTATTTCTGGTTYAGCTAATGGCGGTTGTGAGAGCGTGCGTTAGTTTGAAGATGATTAGCCGCTGARTTACGTTAACGAATCCGACAATTTAATGTCGTTTTGCCTTTACAACAAAAATTTTATTTAGAACAGCATATTGTAATAATCCTTGCGATTTTGGTAGGCTATTTGATTTATTCGGCTCTATAATTAGGATGTAAATGTCTCTTCARCTTAACTAAAAAGGCTTTTTATTCTGTTAAAATTACTGCATTAACCGCCAACAAATGCTTTAGACCAKGATGATTCTGACCCATGAAAAAAAGTTAATATTGTGTATTTTCTATAGGTATTGTATTTTGTTGTCTGATAGACGCAATGCCATGGCCAAGAAACGTAAACTAAAATAATATGTGTAGAATTCATCTCATAAAAACTGCAATCTAAACAYTTTATTTACCAGGTAACGTATAAATGGCTGAGCCTCACACTTGGAGTCCATGTCAACACAGCAAAACAGTAAGTTTATCTGCTTTTCCTCACGTAAATAAACAAATCACTAAGGATTTATACACCGCAAACCAAAAAAGTGTCCTATTAATTGAAGTCAATCATAAAATTTGCCATTCTCAAGTAAAATACTTATTGTTAGCAATAAGCGTTTGAACCGTGTATGCACAGATGATGATAATGATGACTGTCTGCTTTAAAAATTAATTAAAATAAAATAAGCTATTAGGAAGTGCAGTTTTTTTCTCCGTTAAATGTAAAATGTGTTTTCAGAATGCTTTACCATTACTTGGAGCACAAGAGGAAAGAGAGTTTGCCTCAGCTCCAGGCAACATACCTTGTTTCGGGGAAGTCTGTGGACYACGGTCAAACAGTGAGTCATAACTTCTCTGGCAGAGTTTGAATCTTTCTAAACCGTAAAAAGTTCTGTTAATCATCTCCTTTTTGGTATTTGTTTGTTTGTAGTGTCACAAAGTGTCAGTTGTCAGAGAGGACCAGCTGGAACGTGTGTAAATATTTCCTACAGCATTTAGTTTTCACTTTCTGGTTATTTTATTTTTGTCTCGACTTTGTACTGTTTTGTTTCTCTGCAGATTTTAAATCAAAGTTGGCCTTGGTGGCGAGCGTTCATGTCTACAGCGTCCAGAAAGCGGTACTGAGAGACAGCGGCCCCCTCTACAGCGTGGACTACGATGYTGTGAAAGACAACCTGAAGAACTGCAACAGGCATGTAGACCTCTACAGCAGCTGAAGAGTCTGTGGTCTTYGTGCCCTGCTAAGACTGACTACGTTCTTCTTCTTTGTAGATACAGCGCGATCCGGTGCGCCAGCGCCGTGCCCATGTCCTCTGTGGAGCTGCAGCAGGTGCGGGAAAATGAGCCGACGTTGGTGCCCGACAACAAAACATCCGCCATAAACAGGGACACGGGTGTGGCTTCCAAGGCGCCTACCAAGACGCCCAAAGGCATCATGGGAATGTTTTCAAATAAACCTGCATCGAAGCAACAAGTCAACAGCAAAGAACCTGAACAAAAAGAAGAAGCTCCTGCGGTATGGTTTTTGTGTCTTAGTGTGAAAATTAAAACGGTCTTCAGAACAATAGACGTGATGCAGATGTTTTAGGTCGTGTTCACACCTGCACTGTTTAGTCCGATTTAATTGAACTCTAGTTCGTTTGCCTGGAAAGTCCGGTTCGTTTGTGGAGGTGTGAACACGTAATCGAACTCTGACTCAGACCATAAAAGCGAACTCTGGTCCGCCTGAAAACCTAGGTCTCGGTTCGATTGAAACGAACTCTGGTGCGGTTCGATTGCATGTGTGAACGCTAAGAGGACCAGAGACCGCTCCAAAAGCAGGAAGTGGACTATACTTCATGACGTTCTGAGTAATAACAGTAATAATTTTACTTATATGGTGTAAATACCTTACTGGACGACTGTATAAGGTGAACATGATTGTGGAGCTGGACGTGCTCCTACTCGATAACACGGAGCTTCCTCAGCCGCTTGAATGCAAAACAATAATCTCCATGGTTCYGCCTCATCTTCCTCTCATGCTGAGCTAATTGTTGACTATTTGGTTAGCACATTTACCAAAAACAAAAAATAAACCCTATAAACACTAAAATGTAACGTTACTATTGTTTGTTTACATTCTGTGAAGACGGAAGTGGCGCTCCATGTCTTCTTCTGAGGTTTTCATGTTGATTCCTTTAGTGGTTCCTGGTGCAGCGCCCCCACAGGTGAGGGYGGGAACAGGTTGTTTACAGGGTTTAGTTCGGTTGAGAAAGTGCAGTGTGAATTCAAACCGCACCAACAGAAAATGTAAACAAAGCTTGCAGTTTTGGTCCCCAATCGAACCGAGTCTACCGGACTATCAGGTGTGAATACGACCTTATTGTCTTGTTTTGTTTTTTAGGCGGATCCTCCCAAAAACAAACCGGCTGCAAAGGCCAATCCWTTAGCAAAGTTCTTTGGGAATCAGACAAGTGAGTTGAGCTGATCAGGGTTGTTATTACAGACTCATGAAATCTGCTGTGTTCTGCAGTTTGAACCTTTTTCTCCGTTTTTGTTCTGATCTTTTTCACTTCTGCAGAAAAACCTGACAAACCCGTGAAGGAGGAGCAGGAGCCTCGGTCGTCCGTCGCAGCTGAGCAGCAGCAGAATTCCCAACCGGAGCCAGAACCAGAACCTGCAGCCGTGCCGCAGCAGAGCGACACCAAGACCGAGTCCAAGAGGTGTGTGTTTAAAACCGGCGTCAAACCAAATGTTCCCAAACAACAGAAAAGATGGTTGATTTTTGTTCATTTTTAATTGAACAAAAGCAAAACTAAGCGAGTCGAAGCGTCCGACAGTGAGGAGGAGGAGAAAATGGAGAAGAAAAAGAGACGGCGGATCAAACGACCAGAACCTGACAGCAGCGATGAAGATGGTGAGTTTTATTTATTTATTTATTTWT